TGGTATCAATAATGACAACTACAGATTTACGTCCTTTCGGGAAATATAGACCTATATTACGACAAGAAGTAATGTCCAGCAGCAGTACAAGAGTAGAAAAAGTTAAGATTTTTTTTTATAAGGTTATAGTACACACACACAGAACAAGAACACACAACACAGGCTATATTCAATAGACGCGACACAAACAAGTCAAAGCATCTATAACTAACAACAACACATCCAGAATTTCCTCTTCATTGATAACTGCTTGCCCTTAACAACCAAACATAATTCTGCATATTAACGAATAACGTTCCATTTCATCTTATGCCCAATTTGTGGATCATGTATAATAGATAACCGACAATCTTTTTTAATTTTTTCCCACCACTAATCACACTTAAATCTATGGAACTATGATTAACATCCTTCTACCGCACAAGGACTACACATATAACAAAGAGAGAGGTAATTTTTTTTTCTATTATTTTTATCTGGAAAATGAACTATGTAAAGAGTATAGAGTTATAATGGATAGATTATTACCCGAATAGCTTTGTTGGCATATATCCTAGCCGTATCGTTGCCTAACTATTATATATAGTGCTAATAATAACATACCAATATATTTCATCATGCTATATTCACTCGGAGTGGTAAATAACGTTATTTAGTTGGTTTAGGTGTTGTTGCTGAATCGTCGATGATTTCGTTCTTTGTGTTTTGTGTGGTTGTTTGTGTTGTTGTTGCTGTTATGCTCTGCATTGGCTTTTGTCTGCATATGTTCTACAACTGTCTGTTTTGTCCTCACAACAACAACTACAACTACTTTATTTTTCTCTTTCTCTTTATATAATTTGTTATCTCTGTTCCTTATCAACCGCGCATTTGCACCACATATTTTTATTTTGTGCTTTTCACTTACATTTCTATCGTTTCGCAACATTCCTCACTACTTTCCACACAACACTCATGTTTTCCTGTTGTGTGAGATGTGTGCATCGTGATGTAAAGAGTTTCATATCTATACTGCACTTGAACATATATATAATGCAAATCTGCAAAACAATAGTCATGTATGAGTTCTCATCATTACATATTTCCTTATTCAAGTAACAAAAATTAAATTCTAATACTCACTTTCCCTCTCATTTCCTTAGTTGAAAACATTCAACTTCTCCTCTCTCCTCACTCTACTTATTTCACCAACACAAATGTTATGGCAACCTGCTCTCTAATAGCCTTCTCCTCCTCATTCTCTCGCTCAACTTTGGTACCATTTCTCCTACTTTTCTGCTCTTTCTCAGCCATCCTAAGCGCAAAACTGTCGAAAATGAATGCCACGTAAACGCGCTTGTGTGGACGAAAAATCCACACAGAGTAAGGTGAATTCAGCTAATACAATTTGCTAACAATAAGTCATTAGTACGTCCTTGTCATTTCGCACGTAGCACAAATGCGATTTAAGGCGCCAGAGAGTACAAATCTGTCCTTCTCGGCACGTGCACTTAAAACTCACATATATCACCTTGACTTGTAGTCTGTTGTATCTTCGCAGCTCCCAACTACATCTGGACTTAAATCTATGGTTTTCTGGCCCAGCAGCCGTGCAAACCTGGCGATCTAATCACGCCTCAGTTTTGCGATAATGTCAATACGCTCACGCCAATCGTGAGTAAAACGACTTAACTGTTGCAAAAGAAGTGCTGTGAAGAACGGGTGAAATGTCGGAAGCCCGAGAGAGCGAGAGAGTTGGTAATGCACTAGCAGGGAAACTGTAAAGAGCGGGGGGTGTGCAGAGAGTTGTCAGAGAATGTGATGCATGGATTAAGAACTGAGAAGATAGGTGATCTAGATCATGATTCAGTGGTTTGTCGTTGAGATATAGCACATATTTCGAGTTCCATACTAAGGTTTTCTCTTCACCGTTGCACTTATAACTAACGAAGATTATAATTAGGACCTAAACTATAGTAAGTGTAATAATCAGCCCTATAATTATGCGACCTATTAGTTAAAATAATATTGTTCATCATACATATATAACATATGTAAATGTATATATATATAAATATATATATATAATATATATATATATACTATATACATATATTTATAGTTGACGCGTGTATCCCATATTAATAATAACCGATACTACTATCGACGATATACATAGTATATGAGGTGTTAAATGTGTGTGCCTCATAATTTAACTACATTAAAAAATAAATAATATACCGTACACATACTCTATACCACAGTATTAATCACTTAACATTTACATGAGGTTTAGTCGACGGAATCAGGAGGAGACTAGAGAGATAAAAAGGTTATTGTTACATGGTAATATATTTATTCAAATGTATAGATATATGAAACCCACACAACACATATCTATTCAGCGTGATAAATGAAGTGAATAGACGTAGGTTATTATTAGAAGAAATAATGGTCCTAAAGTTATGAATTATTTAGGCTTTTAAGGATATATAAAGTTTTGATTATTGAATTCACATAA